CTTTTGTCTAATTTTGTTTTGTCTCTGTTAACTTTTTTTCCCCCCTTCGGATTTTGTTTTCATCTTCTGAATAAAATAAAAATTGTAAAAACAAAAAATTTAAGTACAATTTTGTCCCAAAGGTGCTTTTTTCAGGAGGCAGCTGGACTTTCTGGTTTTTTTCTTTTGAAGATGTTTCACTTCTCCTCCAAGAAGCTTCTTCAGCTCTGACAGGAGAGTGGGGGAATGGAAGGGATTTATATTCCTTGCAGACAGCTGGTCGTTTGCATCCTTTTTAGAGGGTCGTTGAGGTTTCTCTGTGTCCTCAGGGTCACCTGAATGGTGCAAATGGTTCCTGTAGTCTGCAATATTTTTCCCTCTGGAAATCCAAAGGGAGCTCATCATCCCAAATTGTATATAGCTAAAAACCTGCGGAGATTCTCAGCCATTCGGGTTGTAGTTGTCCCAAAGGTGCTTTTTTCAGGAGGCAACTGGTCTTTCTGGTTTATTTTCTTTCGAAGATGTTTCGCTTCTCCTCCAGGAAGCTTCTTCAGCTAGATAAACCCTTCCATCCAGTCAGAGCTGAAGAAGCTTCTTGGAGGAGAAGCGAAACGTCTTCGAAAGAAAAAAAACACAGAAAGTCCTGAAGAAAGAGCCCCTTCGGGACGACACCATGACCTGAACGACGGAGAATCTCCCTAGACTTTTGAATACGGTTTCAATACTCCAAGGCGAGCCTTCTCTCCTCTCTTTTTTTGAAGGGACCTTCCAGATCGACCCTTACCCGTTTTCTCCTTTTCTTCCTTGACCGCCGGTTCAGCTTCCAACTCCTTCTCCCTGGCCCCCACCGAGGCCTCGTCCTCGGGTTTCTTCGAAGGCTCCAACTCCATCTTCTCCCCTGAGAAGGGGGCGGAAAGGGGCTGCTCCGGCAGCGCGGGAGGCTGGGAAATGCAAGGCAGAGGACTCGACGTAAGGCCACAGAGAGGGCAGGGGTCGAGGAGACACCACACGGACACAGGGGTAGCCGTGTCCCAGGCGCAGGGAAAGACTACCACCCCCCTCGGAGCCGGGAGCCCATCGTTCCGGCCTGAACGCTGCATCCGATTCAGTTTGCTTCTAAAAATATTACGAAGAACGATCGCAGGCATTGGTTTGTCTGGTCTAGTCTTGGTCTAGTCTAGGACACGGTGGCTCGGTGGCGTTCTTTATCTCAGCTTCTGCCAACCGAGCAGTTCAAAAGCATATTTTTTTAAAAAAAAGGCAAGCGGAAAAACAGGGACCCCTTTGGTGGGAAAGGAACGGCGTCCTGTGCGCCTTGCGCAGCATTTAGTCCCGCCGGCCACATGGCCACGGAGGCGTCGTCGGACAGCGCTGCCTCTTCTTTGGTTTGCCCCCTAGAGCGGGAAACGACTGGCAGCAGGGATGCGTGAGGGGAACCTTTAGCTTAGTCCAGTGAAAGGAAGGACTAGGGGTGACCTGATAGGAGGGTCCCAACATTTGAGGGTCTCCTACTAAGAAGAGAGGTGAGCAACCTGGAACGAAGGAGAAACTTTCTGATTCTGAGAACAATGCACCGATGGAAGTGCTTGCCGCCCCAAGTTGTAGGGACTTCACCCCTGGAGGTTTTTAAGAAAAGTTTGGACAGCTGTTTGTCTGATATGGGATGGGGGTCTCCTGATTGGGCACAGGGTTGGGCTAGAAGACCTCCAAAGGTCCTTTTATAACTCTTGTTCTTCCATCCGTTGATCCTTCTCTCACTTTGGAGAACAGGTATAATATAACTGTAATAAGTCAATAAATATCAATAAAAATTAAAAATCAAAGCACTCCGGCTTGTTCAAATCCTACTTGAGGGACTTCACAAGCACCCTACAGGGAAAATCTTTCTTCCAAACCTAATTCTGCAGTTCGTTTTTTTTTTAAAGGAAGAATGGACACATGAAGGGAAGGTTTTTTTGTTTATTTTAAGTCATAATGTACACTGAAGATGGTATTTAATTTCGTTAAATGAGGTGCAATGACAAGAAACTAAACTAAACAAAACTAAACAACCTTCACATTCTATATACCGAATTGAAAACCCCTAATATTGCATTATATTGTTAAAGTGTTGTTAAAACGAGAGCAGGGAGGAAAACCGAAAAAAAAAAAAAAAAAAAAAAAAAAAAAAAAGCTTGAAGCTCGAATGAGGGGAATCTTTCCGGAAAGATTCCCCTAAGATCGGGCACTGGAGTCAAGCTACAAACCTCGGTCTCCATTTTCTCGACGCCTTTGGCTTCCTTCTCCAACTTCTCCTCCTTGGTCTCCACATCCTCCTTTTCGGCCGCAGCACCCCCGTCGCCTTTGTCACTGGGGGCTGGAGTAGCTGAAGGGAACAGAGGACACGATAATCTGCCTTCGGTTTTTACGGATCATCCCAACAACCTGTTCTCACCTAGGCTTCCCCAAGAGCACGAAGCCGACTCCTCGTCCCGATAAAATCCCTTTTATTGAGCGTACGGTGAATTCCTCTCCAGCAAAGTCCTGGCAAACCGTCTTTCAAGATATTGCACAATTACAGGCTTGGAGAGTTGCCAGGCCAATATCTTCTAAACGCCAGCTGTAGCAGACAATACTTGGCAAGAATGCAGGAACTTCACCCAAATGAACTAATTGTCTCCTGCAAAAGCCCCTCCCCCCCTTTTGCTTCTCTTTATTCCATCTGGGAGGGGCCATTCACCGTCCACCTGAGCCTTTACTCCCGAGTCGACCCTTGTTCCTTAACTTTTCCCTTCTCCCGGCAGCTCTGTGCATGCTCACACTGGGAACAGGCTCCAGCTGTTCTTCTTCCCCACTGATTTCTGACTCCATAGGCAGCTGATGACTGTCGGAAGGCCCTGGCCCCATCTCTGCCCCCAACGCAGAGCCCTCCTCAGAGCCTTTCTCCAGACTCCAGGACTGGCCCATGTTCCTCCCTAACCTCCTCACTGTCTGAATCTGCTGCCAGCTCCGCTGACCGCTGGTGGGCCACAACACAACTAATTGTCTGGACTCCTGCCATGGAGGACGTCCCTTCTAGCCCTAGGATTCTATGGCCTTCCTTTTCTTCCCCAAAGATCTAGCTGCCTGCCTTCACTCAGAGCTCAGCCGCCCTCCTGTCACTTCAAAATCCATTTAACCGTCTTTGTATTTTATTTCACAAATGGGCAGCTAATCCTCGACATACAAGAGTTCATTTAGTGACCCTTCGAAGTTAACGGCACTGAAAAAAGAGACTTATGACCATTTTTCACAGTTACAACTTCTGTAGCATCCCCAGGGCCGTTCAGATGCTTGGCCACTGGCTCATATTTATGACGGTCCCGGGATGAGCGATCCCATTTTGCGACCTTCTGACAAGCCAAGTCCAGAGGGAAGACAGATTCACTTTACAACGGTGTGACTAATTTAGCAACTGCAATGATTCGCTTAATTATTGTGGCAAGAAATGTCGTAAAATGGGGGAAAATTCACTTAACAAATGTCTCGCTTAACAACAAATATTGGGCTCCATTGTGGTCATAAGCCAAGGACCCGCTGTATACGGATGCTGACTTCCTAGTGGCCGGGGCACAAAAATACACATAAATCAAAACCGTACAGTGTTTTGCGTTGAATCAATCAAAATTCAATTTAACGTATGCTGCTGATACAGGCAGTCCTTGATACACAACTATCCATTTAGTGACTGTTCAAAGTTACGACAGCTCTGAAAAAAAAGCGATTTTCACACTTATGACTGTTGCAGCAGGCCCACAGTTCCCGTGATAAAAATTCAGATGCTCGGCAACTGACTCATGTTTATGACGGTCGCAGGGTCCCGGGATCATGAGATCCCCTTTTGCGACCTTCGGACGAGCCAAGTCAATGGGGAAGCCAGATTCACTTAACAACCGTGTTACTAATTTAACAACTCACTTAATGACTCACTTAACAACTGTGGCAAGAAAGGTGGGGCAAGATTCACTTAAGAACTATCTCACTTAGCAGCAGAAATTCCATTGTGGCTCCATTGTGGTCATACATCGAGGACTACAGTCCCCTTCGTAAGTTCACTGTTTCACTGAGTAAGGATTCAACCTGAAACCCCCATGGCATAATTCTAGAAATTATTTAAATTAATTTCTTTTGCACTGGTGCTAATTTAGAGCAATTCACCCCAGGATACTAGCAACATGAACGGAGTGGTGGCGGTGGCCTAGAGGTGGGGCTCTCGCCTCACAATCAGGAGGCTGTGTGTTCGATCCTGGGTAGAGGCAGATATTTCTCTCTCTGGGCACGGTGAGTATATATCTGCTGAACAAAACTCTGCATTGGGGACAGGAAGGGCACCTGGCCAGTAAAACGCGCTGCTAGCTTCGTTCAGTTGCCCAGATTCCATCCCTGCAAGGGATTATGGGGTCGCTAAATGAAGATGATGATGATGATACTAGCAAAGGGAACCAGCCTCTTGAAAAGGCAGCGATGAAATCCTGAACAGAAATCATACGCAGAGATTCGGCCTTGTCCATTTCACCTGCCTTGAATAAGGCCGAGTGGATTCTGACAGTTTCGGGGGAAGGGATTTCGGGCTCAAGTCCCCACCCCAGTGGTGGGGTTCAAATTTTTTTTTTACTACTGGTTCTGTGGGCGTGGCATGGCATGGTGGGTGTGGCTTGGTGGGGAAGGATACTGTAAAATCTCCATTCCCTCCCCACTCCTGGCAGAAGGTTACCATCAGGACCTTCCAATGACTCAGAATTTCCGCTACCGCTTCTCCAGGACTGGTCAGAACCTGCCGAATACCACCTGCGCCCCCACCTTGGGACAGATTCCGCCCTTCGGCTCCATCCGTGGTGGATATACCTACCTGGCTTGGAGGTACAGGGTGTGTTGGTGCAGCTGGGTTCTGGGGTGGTGGTGGAGGTTTTGATGGTGGGAGACGAGGCTCGGGATGACTTTTTGGAGTCCGCACTGGGGTCGGGCATCAATTCAGGCATGCTCCAGCGGCCGTTAATATGTTCAAACTCTTGTACCTGTCACGCAAAACAACACACACACTGTGAGCAATTTTAGTTTGCAACAACAACGGTTACAAAAATAAAACCACTCCACAGAAGTAGAAGAAGTCTACCCTAGCCAAAAAAAATTGGGTGGGAGAACGTCCAAACGAAGAAGCACATCGTTTAGAGAAGGGGTGTCCAATGGCGGCAACTTTAAGACTTATGGACTTCAACTCCCAGAATTCCCTAGTCAGCCATGTTGGCTGGAGAATTCTGGGAACTGAAGTCCACAAATCTTAAAACTGCTAAGATTGGACACCCCCGGTTTACAGAGATGGTTTAAGTGCTGGCTTAGAAACCTGGAGACAGTGAGTTCTAGTCCCACCTTAGACGTGAAAGGCAGCTAGGTGATTTTGGGCCAGTCACCAGGAGACAGGGAGTTCTAGTTCCAGTTTAGCCATGAAAGCCAGATAGGTGACTTTGGGCTTGGCTCCCTCTTTCAACCCAATCCCTCTCACAGGGTCGTGATTTGTGGGGAAAACAGGAACAAGGAGGAAGGAATAATTAGGTATGTCCACTGCTTTGAGTTGTTGACCAAAATAATAATGGCAAGATATGAATAAATCTACTTTACCAATGTATAGATTCATGAAGGGGCCCTTGTACTGAAGGCCTCCGGGCAAAGGAGCTCCACTGCCCCCTTCCCCAAATCCCCAGAAGTAACTCAGAACATCTTCATTTAAACGGGGTGTCAGCCACCTGAGGCTCTGGAGCCGCATGGGGCTCTTTGGGCTCCCTGCTCTGGCTCCTTGTTGGGTGATCCCACCAATGGCTGGCCTCGCCCCTCGCCCCTCGCCCTTCCCTCCCAGTCACTCCTCGCCTGCCCTGAGAAGATAAAACATAAAAAACAGAAATGGGAGGGAAGGAGGGAGGGAGAGACCCATTTCCCACAGGAAACACCGGGAGCCACAAAACCTGGCTAGGCGTGATGAGGGTGTGTATCATAGGACTGGGTGGGAGTGACGTTGAGCTGGCCACGCCCACCCAGGTTTTGTGGCTCCCTGTGTTTTCTGTGGGAAACGGATCCAAATGGCTCTTTTGAGCGTTGGAGATTGCAGACCCCTGATTTAAACCCACGTGTCCAGGGGTTGGGCTGCTACTGGTTCACACCGGTTTGGGCAAACCGGTACAAATGGCAAGGAGTTGGCCCCGCCCCGCCCACCCCACTCTACCCTGTCTTACATTTCCTTCTGATTTGCGCGGCAAAGTGGATTGCTGCACCTCAGCTGTTATACTTCCCGGGGAAGCCTAGAAGATGAGCTGGAGAGGTTCAAGTGGGTGTTTATTGAATGCTGCGCACGCGTGTGCGGAGGCACCCAGAACCGCTTGTTTAACCGGCTGCAGCCCACCACAGGACCTGTCCTTCATTTTTTTTCCTTGGGGAAGGAAGCCAATTGCCAAGGAATTAGTAGGGAGGCACTGGATGATGCCTGCTTCCTCCTTGTTGTGGTTCGCTGGCAGCCGATGCAGAATGCAACAGAGTCGGACAGTGAGGGAAAAAGGAGACCAGTCAGGGAGTCTGGAGAGGACTCGGATAAGACTCCTGCGTCCGATGCAGGGATGGGGCCAGGACCATCTGGGAGTGGGGTGCTGCCTTCAGAGTCTGGCAGCAGTGAAGCAGAGGACCCAGGGGAGCCTGTTCCCAGTGTGTGTGTGTGCACAGAGCTGCTAGAAGGCGAGAGCGGCTGAAACAAAAGGGGCGACTCGGGAGTAAGGCTAGGAGGTGATTGCCCCTCCCACAAGGGATAAAAGTCAGACCTCAACGATGACGCCTTTGCAGGAAGCAAAGTAGTTTGATAGATTCCAAGTCCTCCTCGAAGCTCTGTGGTCGTTTTTTTCTGCTACTTCGGTTGGTTTCTGTTACAATTAATTTGGATAACTTCTGTTTTTGGCAGCATTCCACAGCACTGAAAGGCGTGTGCTTATCTTGGGGAACTGTTTTAAGATTAGTTCTGGCTGGGAATGAAAGCAATTCCCAGAGTTGCATTAAAATAGGTTTTGCTTTTAAAACAAGTTTTGTGTTTCATTACGTTTGTTGAAGCCTGGGGTCAGAACACTCCTGGCTCATCCACCTTTGCGGTCCTACAGTTCCATACCTTTTTTTTAACCAGAGACATGACTCCTATCCGTGTCAGGACCTGCTGTCTGGAGAGACCCTCCCGTGGCACCCCGTCGGCAAAAGTCTCTGAACCGTCCGCCCCGGGTTCGCAGAGGTGCCTCATGAACAGAGAAACGTAGGCCCTGGGGAGACAGAAAGTCCATCTTTACCTCTTTAGAGAAAGTCTGAATAACCTCTTAACAACAGTCTTTTTTTTAACAGTTGAGGATTGCTATGTACGGATTTTGAGTTCTCAGCCATGAGCTGCCCTGGCTTCTTTTAAAAAAAAAAAAAAAGCGTTAGGAAAATTTTGGGAAAGAGAGCGCGATTGTGGCTGATCACGACACCCTCCAGTCCAGGAGAAAGATGTCACACCCTCAACACTTTGGATTAAGGGAGCTGGACTTGTTGAATTACAGGAATTGTCCCAGTGCCACGGATCATTCCAACAGTCCCAAACCACAAATGGGAGGATGGGGGAGGGAACTTGTAAGACCACCTTGCCCATTTTAAGGTGCCTGGACTTCAATTCCCAGAATTCCCCAGCCAGCATCACGGCAACTGTTAAGGTGCCTTGGGAATTCTAGGAGTTGGAAGTTCACACATTTAAAAAGTTGTTTGTTGGCTGAGGAATCCTGGGGAGCTGAAGTCCATATATCTTAAGATCCCACAATGGCTGGGGAATTCTGGGAGTTGAAGTCCACACACCCTACAGTTGCTAAGGCTAAGAGGCACCGTCCTAGGAGCAGGGAGCGGAGACTTGTAAGGTACGGATCCTAAAACCAAGATCCTCCGCCCCCCCACCCCCAAATCTGGGCTCTTCTGGAACTTTCTGTTCCACCTGTTTGCCATCAGATTCTCGTCGTACATCTTCACCAAGAGAGCAGGAGGCTCTGTAGCTGTGGGCCAGCTTGGAGGAAGCCATGCCTTAGACTCGCCAATGCGCCTGGCCACAGCCTTCCCTTGATCTGTGTCTGCTTGAGGGAGAGGGGCTCATCCCTTCACATCGCTCTCCAGGAAAACACAGACAGAAACAGAGGGTTTGGAGAGAGGGTCAGATGAGTAAGAACCATCATCACTTGGCAAACGAAGCACTGGGTGAAGGTGCCAGGCTAGAAAGTTGGGAGTTCTAGTCCCGCCTTAGCCATGAAAGGCAGTTGGGTGACTTTGGCCCAATGCTTCTGACACAAATACAGACCAGGAGACTGGGAATTCTAGTCCCGCCTTGGGTACAAAAGCCAACTGGGTGACTATGGGCCAATCACCGGGAAACTGGGAATTCTAGTCCCACCTTGGGCACAAAAGCCAACTGGGTGACTATGGGCCAATCACCAGGAAACTGGGAGTTCTAGTCCCGCCTTGGGCATAAAAGCCAGCTCAGTGACTTTGGGCCAATCACCACCTCAGTGATTTTGGGCCAATCACCGAGATGGTGTTGGGCGTGAAAACTGGGTGGGATACCAGGAGATAGTGAGTTCTAGTCCTGCCTTAGGCGTGAAAGCTGGGTGGAATGACTTTGGATCAGTTCCTCTTTCTCAACCGACCCTACCAGCCAGGATTGTTGTTGTGGGGAAAGGAGGAGGAAGTTGTGTTGGATTATGTTCATAGCCTTGAATGATTTGTAAAACATAATAAAGCCGGAATAGCTAGATAGCTAGATGATAGCTAGAGAGATAAATAAGGTTATTTCGGCATATACTCTCATCCTTGACAGACCAAAGCAAAGCTTGGCACAAGAATAAAACCATTTTCTTTACATTTTTTTCATCCGGTCTACAAATCTGAGGAGAGAATTGGCGACGCCAAGCCCACTCAGCAACCAAAGAGGGAGGGTGACAAGGATTTTGGTAGGGACTTCAATTGATGAAAGGGAAGAAAAGAAGAGAAGAGGAATATTTAGGGGCATCCCCAAGACCCCTCCCGTGAACCCTGACAAGGCAAGACACTTGTATATAAAGAGAAAGCAAAGCCCCACTTTCTGGCACTGATAACGTCTCTTAGTTGGGTCATGAAAGATCTGCAAGAAAACCACCAAGCTCAAAGACCACCATTCCTCCTCTTCCTCCTCTCCACAAACCGCTCTCCCTTCTAGCACTGACGACGTTACCTAATTGGGTCATGAAACGTCTGCAAGAAAACCACCAAGCTCAGAGAGACAAAGGCCCCATAGTTCTCCTCTTCCTCCTTTCTGCAAACCCCATTATCTTCTAGCACTGATGATGTTACTTGGCTGGGTCATAGAACGACTGCAAGAAACCCTCTCAAGACAGCAACAAGGATCCCACAGTCCACACACACACACACACACACACACACACACACACACCGCCTCCCTTCTAGCACTGATGATGTGACTTAAGTCATGAGAGGTTTGCAAGAAAGCAACCAAGCTCAGAGAGCACCAAGGACCCCACAATCCCCCTCCTCCTTTCTGGAAATCCAATTATCTTCTAGCACTGATGATGTTTGTTAGTTCGATCCCAGGTAGAGTCAGATATTTCTCTCTCTGGGCACAATGAGAATATATCTGCTGGACAAAACTCCGCGCTGGCGACAGCCATTAAAACATTCTTGCTCGCTCCGTTCAGTTGCTCAGACTCCACCCGGTAAGGGATTATGGGGTCGTTAAAAGATGATGGTGGTGGTGGTGGTGGTGTTAATTAGCTGGGAAACGTCTGCAAGAAAGCAGTGAGGATTCCCCCAGAGAAGGAAAGGGCAAAAAGAAGGAAGGAAAAAGGCTTGGAAGGAGGGGAAAGACTGCCGATTCATGGCTGCTAGCGCTTCTCGGGGGCCATCGAGGGTCTATTGTGTATGTCTTACTACTGAGAGTAGCCGAGACAGCTTCAGGGGCTAAGCCTCTTCCCCGGAGAGCCAGGTCACCGAACGAGCAAACAGACCTTGACTGAGCTTCTTCCATCTGTCGTTTGTTACTCGTGATACAGACATGGAAACCCACCGGTGTGATCTTTTCGAGACAGGACTTTTCCCTCCTTCTTCCCAAAGACAAACGGGCTGCACGTGCCCTCTTCAGAAGGAAGGTGGAGGAGCCAGAGGCAAAACTGTCACTTCCCCCGGGCGTATCGCGGAAGGTACAAAAACGGGGAGCACCACGCTGAGCAACGGCAGGAGCGACAGAGATGGTAAAAGGCGTGTGACGCATCTTGTCATGCACAGCTCAAGCTTCAGAAGGTTCCAGCGGGCCCCGGTGGTGATGAGGTTTTTTTGGGGGGGACCTCCGCACGAGCAGCGGCTGCCACAAGCCTCAAAGGCTGAGGAGGGAACACGCACACACACACACACGCACACACACACACACACACACACAGACCCCGCAGGCGATGACAAAAGGAAGGATTCCTGCCTCCGACCTCAGGCAAGATCAGAGGCCTCCCTCCCCCCCACACCCCGAGAATAGGTGGGTGGGTGATCCGTCAAGAGAAGATGATAACGATAAGAAGGCTGGTTGTCGCTGAATATCAGAAACCTTTCTCAATAGAGGTTCAAAAAAGCAGGGACAGACTGCTTCCTCCGTGGAAATGTTTAAACAGAGCACGGATTTCCTGCAATGAGCGGGGAGATACTCAGAACGATCCCCCCAAAATCCTTGCCAACTTCCCCACGCTTATAAATTGAAGGGCGAATTCATCTTTCAGATTGCAGAGCCTAAAAACAGCTATTTTTTAAAAAAATAAAATAAAATACAACCTGCCCTGAAAAGTAAGTCCTAGCTTGATTTTTACACATGTGTCCAAAGCCCTATTCCCCAAAATACTATCTAATCTAATGAAGATTTCCACCTGCTCCAGAGTGCATGGGTAAAAATTAAGCTAGGGTGGGGATGTGTGTGTGTGTGTGTGTGTGGAGCTGCCGTACTACTTACTTTTGGACAGTTGTAGCCAGGCCTCGCGCACCCCGACACCTGCCTTGCCGGCCCGTTTCTTCTGCAGCCAGCAAAGCTGGCAAAGGCTTTCCTGAAGGCCGCTGGAGCTCATAACAAAGCTCCGGATCGATCCAGAATTATTGGCGGTTATCGGCTGCAGAGGCCTTCAGGAAAGCCTTACCCAGCCACAGAAGACGTTCCTGTCGGCCTCGGACAGTGAAAAGGAGGCCAGGAGTGACACACGCAAGTGAGGTTAGTCAGTGGATGACATTCCCCGAAAATAAGACCTGGTGCCTTTTTTGGTGACAAAAAATATGTAAGACAGGGTCTTATTCTCGGGGAAACATGGTATATTTTTAAATGGCAAATTCTGAGGCCTGCGTTGGGTTTTTTTTTTCTCTCCCTCACCCCCGAGGGGGACGCCTACGTGTAAGATCCGGATCCCCAAACAAGAGGTACCTACTTAAATTCCTTCTCTGTCTTGCCTCGCAGGTCCCGAACCAGCCACTGGGAAGTGAAGGCGTCCTGGGGGGGCATGCCCCAGCGCATGACGGCGTTCAGGAAGGCCTTGCGCTGACGTGTGTTGAACCCCAGCACCTGGAGGAAGAGGCAGCGCACAATGTCAACAGGACCCAGATGCGTCTCAACCCAGTGCAGGACGTGTTCAAATTATGACCGCTCATTTTAGCAACAGTTCCAAAGTTCTGATGGACCTACCCGGGGTCTCAAAGTTCTGATAGTCTCTCTGTTTCCTCTCCCCTCTCTCCTTTTCTTTCTCCTCTCTTCCTCCTTTCTCTTCTTTCTCTCCTGTCCTTCCCTCCCTCATCTCTCTTCCGCTTCTCTTTTCTCCCCTCTCTCTCCTGTCTCTCTCCTCTCTTCTCTCCTCCCTCGCCCTCTCTTTTTTCTCCTTCTATCCTTCCCTCTTTCCTCTCTCTTTCTCTTCTTTCACCACTCTCTCTCCGGTCTCTTTCTCTCTCCTCTCTCTCCTTCTCTCCTCCCCCTGCTTTCTCTTTCTTCTCTCTTCCTCCTTTCTCTTCTTTCTCTCCTGTCCTTCCCCCTCTCCTCTCTCTTCCGCTTCTCTTTTCTCCCCTCTCTCTCCTCTCTTCTCTCCTCCCTCGCCCTCTCTTTTTTCTCCTTCTATCCTTCCCTCTTTCCTCTCTCTTTCTCTTCGTTCACCACTCTCTCTCCGGTCTCGTTCTCTCTCCTCCCTCTACTCTCTCTCTCTCTCCCCCTCTCTCTTCTCCTCTCTCTTCTCCTCTCCTCCCCCCACTTTCTCTTTCTTCTCTCCTTCCCCCTCTCCCCTCTCTCTCCTCTCCCCCATTCCCACTGCGTATCCCACAGAGCTTGAATCTCACCTCAATGTTCCCCCCGACCCGTGCCAGAAGTGGGGGAAGAGGCTTGTCCTTCTCATTCCGAAGCTGCCTCCTGGACTGGCGGCGACCTTGATTTGCAAGAGGGAGAAGATAAGCAAACAGGTCAGTCTCTCCACGAAGGAGATAGCCAAGTCTCAAGCTAACAACAACAACAACAAAAAAAATCAGTCCAGTTGCCAACGATTCAACCTTCAGACGTGGCCAAGTCTCCCAAGGCTGATTAACTGGACGGATAGTCGGATAGTCACTGGAACCAGGAACGGCAGGAAACACCACCGAAGTGATGACAAGAATGGATGGATCCCCCCACCCGCCCCCAAAAAACAAGCAAAGCTGATTGCCATTATAGAGAATAATCCCAGCTGTATATAAACAGAGAGCAAAACACTCTCCCTTCTAGCGCTGATGAGGTTACCTAGTTGGGTCATGAGACATCTGCCAGAAAAAAACTAAGCTCAGAGAGCACCAAGAATCACTCAGTTCTCTTCTTCCTCTTTCCTTCCTCCTCCTCCACTCTGCATGCTCCACTACCTTCCAGCACTAATGATGTTACCTAGTTAGGTCATGAAACACCCGCCAGAAAACCACCAGGCTCAGACAGCACCAAGGACCCCACCGTCCTCCTCTTCCTCCTCCTCCTCCTCCATGCAAAACCCCCTCCCGTTCAGCACTGATGATATTACATAGTTGGATAGATAAATGTCTGCAAGAAAACAGCCAAGCTAGAAAGTATCAAGGACTCTACATTCCTCCTCCTCCTCCTCCTCCTCTCTTCTACCACTGATGATGTTACCTAGTTGTGTCATGAAATGTCTGCCAGAAAACCACCAAACTCAGAGGGCACCACCGCCCTATTTTTCTTCCTGCTCTCCCCTCCTCCTTCACTCTGCATACCCGACTCCCTGCTAGCACTGATGAGGTTACCCAACTGGGTCATGAAATGTCTTGCAACCAAGCACAGGGAGCCTTAAAGACCCCGGAGAAGAAAGACCTCTCGCCATACACGCCGTACTAAGAAAGAGCCAACCGCACCACATGTCTGAAGTATATGAGAACGCAGCACGGGCCATGTTTTTCCGTACCACAGCAAGCCACGTTTGACCCCCAGTTGCAAGCCCCTCCAGATCGAAGCATGTGTTCTGACCTGGGCTTCCCCCAAAGCACAAAACTGATTCCTCATCCCAATACACCCCTTTTATTGAGTTCACAGTGAATTCCTCTCCAGCAAGGTCCCAGCCAACAGTCTGTCAAGATACTTCCAATTACTGACCCTTATCGAGCCTGGGGAACTGCCAAGCTGATATCCTTCATATGCCACACTGTAGCAAACGGCGCTTGGCAAGAGTGCAGGAACAGATCTTCACTCACATGAACTAGTTGTCCCCTGCAAAAGCCCCCTCCCCTTTCACTCCTCTTTTATTCCCTCTGGGAGGGGCCGTTCACTGTTCACCTGTGCCTTTTACTTCTGAGTCGACCCTTGTTCCGTAGCTGTTCCCTTCTTCTGGCAGCTCTGCGCATGCGCACACTGGGAACAGGCTCCAGCTGTTCTTCTGCCTCACTAATGTCCAACTCTGAAGGTAGCTGGTAACTGTCAGGCGGCCCTGGCCCCATCTCTGCCTCTGATGCAGAGCCCTCGTCAGAGCCTTCCTCATCCTCCAGGACTGGCCCATGTTCCTTTCCAACCTCCTCATTCTCCTAATCTGCCGCACGGCTGCTGGTGGGCCACAATAGGATTATTAAGATATCCAGTTCAGTCCCCGTCCCCCGGTTCAGTTTTGGCAGGAGATTTCATTCTGGGCAGGCCAAGGGCCGTAAAAGGGAGGCCACATTCTAGCTCAGACAACCGGACTCTTCTTCAAAGGCCTCAGAGCCTTTCCAGACCTACCCAAACTGCCCCACCCCCGTACCTTCTGGCCTCTCATCAAAATCTTCATCCTCCTCTTCAGAGCCAACGGAGTATTCAGATTGATTGTCTGAAAATAATAATAATAATAATAATAATAATAATAATAATAATAATAATAA